GAGAATATCACTGGCAACATCAAGGAAATATTTCAGTATTATTCTTCCACAGAAACTTTATTCCACATCATCTTAACAGTTTTCAAGAGTTTTATTTGTAAAAATGTACCTTTGTTCATACGAACTTTCTAAATTGAAACCCTTAAAAACATAGGATATTAGAATAAAGTGATAATAAAGATAATTGTAATTCCCTTTGTTGGCATTCCATTATTGGTGAATGGCTAATTCGAATTTCTTAGATTTGTTTTAAGGAAATAAACCATTGCCTGAAATAATAGATTTCTTCAAATAAGTTATAAACTCCTTCTTGGTATTTTTCAAAGGAAATTCTCAGGTAGAGATCTAAATTAATAGATTTTTTTGGAAAGGAGAGAAAAGGGAGCATATTCAAAGTTTTATTCTCTAGGTAGCGTTTGAATGGAAACCTTAAAATTTGAGGATCATAATTTTGAAGAGAGTCATCTCAAATTGTGAATTTTTCTATGATCTAAATATAGAAATATATACAATTCGTCTCTAAAAGACAAACCCAAAATAAGTATTTACGAATTAATTTGAATTGTTTGATAATTGATATGATGAATGAGCAAAAATATTGTAGAACATCAATTTTATGTGACTTTAATTAAAATGACATGAAAATAATCGAATGGAACTGCTATAAGTTACCTAAGACTGAATATATACAACCACATTACTAATCTGTATTGAAAGAAATAGTACTTTATTAAAGAAATTAAATTCTTGATAATTTAGAAAATTAATGCTAACTATATTATAATAAAATCCCAACTATATATTTCTGTCTATGTAAACAGAACCCCATCAAAAAATATAATATTATTAATTCCCGAATGTTTAAAGCTCTAAAATGACATAGTGTTTCTTTTTTTAAATCAATTATTCTTGTTTCACAAAAGAAAATCTTATGATTTTTGTACATAGCCCCATAAGATTTAATTTATTATCCGATTATTCATAGATTAACGGGCGATAGAGGATAACTCATAAAATGAATCTTCCTTTAAATAGCCCATTCACCTTAGAAATCTGCTGATTCAAAAAACTTGATGAGATTACTTTGGAAGACTTTCATCAGGGGGGATTATGAATGATTGATTTATCTATTTTCATCCAAATATTTATATGCTAATTCCCTTTAGTATTTCTATATCTATTGTTAATTTTTAGAAACCAAATATTTCAAGATATTTTTGGAGGTTTTAATTTATTTGAATCAAAACATTTAAAGTTGATATGCTTATACAATATTTATTATGTGACTGCGAACAACAAAGATATCAATATTGTATATTTTTTTAGGGTTATCTTTACTTTAATACTGTGGAATTAGCCAACGTTATAATGAGAGATTTATGAAAATTAGTTAGCCAAAGTAAAGACGAGTATCTTATTAGAAATCTGTTTTTTTTGAGATCTCATCATCACCTTATTAAACTTGAATTAACGTTCTTTAAATATTTTTTGTTTGTATAAAGCTTTTAAATGGGGTGAGATGATCCTTATCACTTTTTAGTCCTAATTTTTTTCGTAAAAGTTAAACACGTTGACTCAATTATTATTAGTTTTTCATTAGAAACAATGGTCTTTTAAGTCAAAGATAAAGCGAATATAATGTAATAATTATCTTGAACTTTATATAGAATTGCTTAATATCTTGTGTATAAGATTTTCACTTATTAAATTTTTTGTTAACCTTTACTTAAGATGAAATATGTAAACCAAAAATCTGATGGTCATTCTTTTATTAATTATTATTTGCATTATAACCTATAAGAAAGTATTATTAACCTAACAATTTATAGGCTATGACTTCATTTTTATACTAAGTTAAGTGAGACAAGTAAAATGATCCTTATAAGCAAGAAATTAATGCACAAAACGTTATTACTTTTATTGGGCTTACTATCAAGAAAACTCCTACTTTTATATGGAAATTATAATAAATAGGAGAATAATTATAATGAAACTTTCTAAAGCTCAAATATTGATCATCATATTAAATCATATAAGTCTAAAGAACTCTAGCCTGATATTTCTTCTCATATTTTGAAATAAAAAGCTAATCTTTGCAAAAAAGGATTAATCTGATCAAGGAGTATGCTTTTTAAAACTGCCATTAAATATTTTGGCGGCTATATCAACATAATTTAATTTCAGCAGCATTTTAACAAACTTGATTATTTATAAACTCAATCGAAGAAAAATATGGAGAGTCATAATAGCATTTTTGGTATAATGAGTAAAAACAATTAACATCATAGATCAAACTAACTCAATAAATTCTGTAATCACTAAAAGGCATTGTTCAAACATCAATTTTTAGATCAATAATGATAAATCCAGAAATGTCTTAATATGGATGGCCCAAATTAATAACACTCAAGCAATATTAATATCAAACTAAATGAATACATTAATATATAAGTCAATCCATTTATTGTTTCTTGCTCACATTCCATTTCTACTAGACAAACTTTATTATTAACCTTTAGATTTCTTTAAATGAATAAAACCATTTAAAAATGAATTTTTTAATTTTTATCAACAAATTAATGAATTCACCTCATCCTAACGTTCTCTTCCACAAATTTAGGCTTCAGATATTAAACCAAACAGTCATTTATATAATCACTATTTTTTATTATTCTTTTCAATTCCTGCATGGAAAGTAAAACAAAAATAAAAGTACGGTAATGATTTCTTTTTCAAATTGCCTGTTTGATCAATTCTCTCTTCATTCCTCATCGAATGATTGCTAACAATCTCGAAATACTTTTAGTTTGTAGTTCTCATCCTATCCAGCCAATTAATTCATCAATTATCCTCTCAAGAAAACTACCTATAACCATATCATTTTTTTTAAACTGGTTCTTCAATTAATCACCTTTGCTTAATGAAACTATAACCTTAAACAAAATGACCACTTCTCAAAATATTATAATTTCTAATAAATACAACACATATATGCGCAAAATTCTTAATCGGGCGATTATCTTCACAAAAATAAGCTGTTCAATTTTAACAAACTTATGTTTTAACTTTCTTTGGTTGATTTTCTATTTTTCCTATATTCTCAATATCTAGACTTACCAATTATCCTCTCAATTTTTAATAGGTGTATCTTGATGTATAACCAAAGTTACAAAACAGAAAACATTTTATCTCCATTTTCAATGATCAGATATATGTCAATCAATTTAATAATTGCCTTGCTCTATCATTATATATATTCATCATTTTCAAATTATAATTTTCTTAATACTCACAATAACAAATTTCATATCTCCTTCTTCCAATCTGGTCACATTTTTTATAATTATTATTAACAGCAAAAAGTAGAAATTAGTGCTTCTTCTGCCTAAAATGTCTTGATAATATTAGAAATTAAAAATTAAAATTCAATCAAGAAAAGAAAAAAGTACAGCAGTTTTAAAAATAATATAGTGACAGCAATAATAAAAATGAGAATGATTAAATTTTCTTTAGAAATTATCCAATTACTTTAATATCAGCAAATATTGGAATGACATTCTAATAAATTAGATATATTGATTATGCCTCTTGTCAATAAAAGGAGAACAATTACTGTTTAATTATATATACAGTAGATAAAAGCATATTTTATGATTAGCGATCTCAAATGATATAGTAAACATCAGCTTTCTCTGACCATTTCATAAGGAAATTAGTATATCAAAAAGATTTTTTTAGGATTTTAGTTTTGTTTTTCTTGATTAGACTCCCCTATAGTTTCAATGTAAATTATTAAAATGTTGATGATTGAAAAACAAAGTTAAAGCTACAGTTAATTTAAGGCAATTTACATTTCTATTATCTTTGCACTAAGTATTTATGGCAGGAAATAATCATTTCTGGAGCACAAATTTTTCTAATTTCTTCCTTCCTATAAACATCGATTAAATCCAATATATATTTTCAATAGTAAGAGTCTTTTCATTAAAATTGTCTTTTAATTTTCGTTATCTGAGTTGAGTATTTTCAAAGTAGATTCTTGATTTTTCCCTTTTGTGAATTTATATTTTACTATTAATATTTTATGCTAATAATAAATTTTATGGAAAAATCTTGTTTTTCTAGAGCCCCATATTCACTTTGCAGAAATGGTCCAATTCTTCTTCCCTTACCCAGAATAGTTATGTATAAAAGGGAAATATTGTTATATTAAATCTCTTCTATGAATTCAAATAACCACAAAGCTTATCTTGTTTATGAACATTGCCTATTATACTAGCATTCTTTAGAAATCCTTTTAGTTCTGTAAGATACATCCCTATGTATCTTTTCTGCCCAAATAATCAAACTAACTCTTAATTTATACCTAAAATTTCTTGATTATCTACTGTAATTCTCAAAGACCATCTCATCTCGCGTTTTTTAAGAATGGGTTCTACTTATTCAATTATTTTTCCTTCAATCTCAAATCTTACCATGCCTCCAATCCATCTCTCTCTACCTTATCCTGATTTACCTTACATCTTATATTCACAATCTCAAGACTCCCTCAATTTAATTCCTCTCTCCTTCTCTTCATATAACCATGATCTTTCATTAGATCTAGTTACCTAATCATTATGGGAGGAGTTGTAAAATTACCCTTAGAGTTCAATTTAGCTACCTCCTGAGTCAATCCGAAACTCAAAACCACTTTAATAAATTCTTCCCTGGATATTGCAGGACATTTATAGTTTTCCTATTACATATTCTCCATTATCCTTTAGTATTGATGAATTATATCATATCTAATTTCTCTTTCCTTTCAATTTTAATAATCTTCCTGTCATTCCTTAGGTTCTCAACAGACATCTTCCAGTTACTTCTTATCATCGCTATTTCATTATCCTTGTCTCTATAAACTCTATTAAACAGTTTAATAATTTTTGTTCAATTGATAAGGTGCATCATCCCATCTTCATCTAATGATGTGATCATACGTCTAGTCAACCTTTAATCGTTCATTCTAATTTACAATCTATTTCTTTAATTGGGAAATTTTCCGATTAATAAATTGCTATAATTCATTATTTACATTACCTAACAGATCCCATTAAATCTTGAATATTTTAACAATGTTGAAATCTGATTGCACATTCTGTTCTTTTCTGATGATTTCGAAAATCATACTTTTAAAAGATGTAAAATATAATTTAATTCCCTCCCAATACCTTTAACAGACTTCCATTTGTTTAAATTGAGTTGTAATTCCAATAGATACTACTTGGGATAAGGATGTCCATTTCATTTTATGTGAAGGTCTTTTTTGATTTTTTTTGATATAATGAATTTATATACTTGTGGGGGAGAAATACTTTTTATCTTCAAAAACAAAACTTAACTTAGTTTATAAAATCTAGTATATATTTTGAATATAAAGTGAATCTAAAGGTGGCAATAAAAGAGGAGAGTGCTGTTTTCGATAGAAATTTAACCTAGAATAATTAAAATGGTTGATTACTTCTAATCTAAAGTTAGTATATCTATTCTAATCTTAACAAAACGATAAATCTTACAAAGAAGCCAAAGTTCTTGTTATACTAAGTTAAATAATTCAACATCATCTCGAGAGTGGCTTGAGTCAGCAAGGTCTTTGGAATGAGGCTACAGCTCCTAGTTTTTGGATTTAACTCTCTTCCCTTATGGTTATAATCCCACCATGATGTCATAGAAGTTTTCGTTAACAAAATTTTTAATAGGTAAGTTTTAGGATTAGAAGAATTTCCAATTTTAGATAATTTTTCAATTTTTCAATTCAATTTAATATATTTGAAAACAAAAAACTTTTGGAATTTTTGATAATAAAATAAATTAACTTTCGCGCATACTTTTCATTAATTTGGTAAAATAAGAATAATATTCTATTAACAGTTTGGTTCGATTTCTTTTCATTTTTGGAGCAAAGTGCTCATAAATTATAAAGAGTTTCCTCTAATAAAAGTTATATAGTCGGCTTTCATAGCTCTTTGAATTTGATGAGCCAATTTATCATTTTTCTTTTAAATTAAAGGAAGCAAGCTATTATGCCCACCAATAACAATCCCAGTTTCCATTGTAGACTTCCATTAATTTTGATAATTAGTTTAACTAGGTCAAAAAAGCTCAATTACTTATTTCTAGTTTTCTTGAGCCAAAATTTAGGATCATTTATTTTAATCTCATAAAGAGTTAGAGGTTTAAATATAGATATATTTCAGGAGTTAATTTTATTTTGATATCAAAGAATTTAGATTAATTATCCTTCTTTTTTATAAATATATTCTTATGAGCTCAGGGTCAAACTCATAATTAAGTTTGCAATCTATATCACTTAAGCTATATTTAGAGGTTTTCCCTCTATTAATTGTTTAGTTATATTATTGGTAACAAAGTTAACATTGCATCTTTAAATTTAACACCGCAGTAAAATGATTTTTCTTAACTTCTTCAAAATTTGAATTTCTAGAAGATTCAGAAAAGTTAATTAGTTATTTAATTTGCTAAAGATTTTAAAATGGATTCTCATAACACCTTTATTATTAATACACTAAGTATATAAATACCGGTGACAAAAATATTATAAAAAAATTGAAATTTATTAAATATAGAAAGGCTAATAAATGCAAATCTTTAAGATTTGTTTTATCATCTTAAAAAAAGCTACATATACCACAACTAATTTAAAAAAATTAGAATAACATTACCATAATGAAATAGTTTATCTAATTGAAATATCGATTCAAATGAATTTGGGTTAAAATGGTGAGTATGTGTCTCTATATTAAAAAAGACATCATAGCATATACTCAACTTAAAATTAAAAAATCCTTTGTGAAAAGGATTAACTGATTTTAACATAATCAGGGAGAATCATCTAAATAACTGTTTTAAAAAAAACTGAAATTATTTTGTTTAATAAATGATATAAAATCAATTGAAATTATATTATTTATTAAATGATATATAATCAATTGAAATTCTATAGTTAATTTAATGATATAAAATAAATCGATGAAAAATCTATATTTTACAATGTCTAACAAAGAATATATCATCATCAGCAAATTAGTAACTTTCATATTCAAATGAAATAGACTATTTTAGATAACTTAGATAATTTTCCATATAAATATTAAATAAAGCTGGCTAAAGTGGAGAGTCCTAGGGTGCCCCATTATTAAAATGATATTTCTATGTGTTAGTGGACATTTGTAGTAAAGATTTTGATACAGAATTTCTAAAAAAATTATATCTTAATGATCTAAGATTTGTTTTTGTCTTAAATTTTAAAAAGCTAATCTCTATCTATACTGTTGAATGCATTACTAAAGTCAATTAATACGCAAATCATTCTAACTCCCTTCTTAAAATTATTTATCTTATTTAGTAAATTGATGTTGTTAATTTGAGTTGAAGAACATGGTATAAATCCAGATTGTTGCTTTGCTAAATTTAGAGCATAGGTAAAAATTTTAATTCCAAGAATTTAAAAAGTGAGCTCCAAATTGTTTTAGGCCTGAACTATGATATATTAAGGATATCTGGATAAACTTTATTTAATGGAATAATTCTAGCCCTGCAACAATTTAAGTGGGTTTCAATCATATTATTAGTCAAAATATTCTTCAAAATATGGATATTTTTGGTTTGTCTCAAGAAATTATCAGATATTCCATCGTAAGTAATCGATTTTTATAGGACATCCTTTTCTAATTATCAATTATATCAAAATCTTCTAGAGGGGGTAATGAGGGTCGGAGTTTCGATTTGAGTTATTATCCTTTCGATATTAGACTAAGTTATTCTAGGCAGATATTCATAGCTGCATCCCCAAACTATAATCTATTTGAGTCATATCCATTTTCAACAGATTGTTTTATAAAACCTTTGATTTCAAATTCAATTGTAAATTATGAAATACATTGAATATTTAATAATTGATCCAACAATTAATTATTCTGCATTTATTTCTATGATATTTTACATTATGCTTTATCATCAATTAATATTAATATCACATTTTGATTATTCATTTTTAAATATCCTCTTTGATATTATTCCTTCTCATTATCCAATCTCGGCTTCGAAAAATCAAGATTTTTTTTCTGTGCCTTATTGGCTGCCAACTACTTTTCCTTTTTGTTCATTAGAATTTGAGATTTGATTTGTATGAAAAATCTCCTTTTCTTTTGTTAAAGTTGGCTAATTATAAGGGGTTGAGTATTATTACAAATGGGTATGATTTGGCATTATTATTTTTATTATGTCATAATCCACGTTTTCTGAAAAATGATTCAAATTGAATCCCCAAGTCTTTTCAATTTTTAATTATTGAAATTCCTCAGATAGATGTGAAGAGGTAGCGTTAGTTAGCAAGAGTTATCCAACTTCTCTCTTTTGTTGTTATTCTGAAAACCTTTTTTGGTCATCCAATTAAATAAATATTGAGTTGTGATACACTCTCAGTCTTTAACGATAATTACTTTATCATGATTAAAAGTTTCTTAAATTAACTTTAAAATAAAACATAATGATTATTCAATGTTATATATCTTCTTGGATATTATTAGTACTTTCTAATTATTCAATCTCCACCTTGATAATTTAGAATTATTTCTATTTCTCTTCTAGTTTTTTTGTTTGTTTGCTATATTGGTTGCCAACTCCTTTTCCTTCTTGTACAATAAGCTATGGATCGTTTGAAAAATCTCCTTGATTAGCCCTTTTAATGGAAGTATAAATCAAAAAAACAGCATTTAAATAAATTCATTATAATTTCTAGAAATTCAAAAAATCCTTTTTCTAACGTTTAATGAAATAGATTATATAGAGAATGCAATATTAAAAAAATTTCGATTTATGAGTAATGAGCACTGCTTGGATTCAACATCAAGAAATTAACATAAATTAACAAAAATTCTAATATGAATAGATACCCAGAAATCGATTATTTATTTTCCTTATAGGAGAATCATTCATCATGGTTGTAAGAATATATTCAATAATCTAATTCAGAAAAATCCTCATTAATTAACATATATCACGATTTTCTCAAAGGTTTCCATTTGACAAAGGAACATGTTTCTTTATAGAGTTTTTAATAATATTGTAAAGTTCAAGGATATTCATATAAAAAGCGTTCCAAGATTTCAAAGCCATAAAAAAAAAAAAAATCAAAGCAATGTATTCATGCATAACTATTTTTACATCACATAACAAAATAATTTTAATTGATTTTATATCAGTAAATAAACAAAATAATTTCAATTTATTTGAAATCTTTCAAGAAACATTATAATTTTAATTGATTGTATATCTAATATTAAATAAAATATATTTAATTGAATTTGTATCATTCATTAAGAAATTATTTTCAATTGATTTTATCTTCAAATATCATTATAAATTCAATTTATTTTATATCATCTAATAAACAAAATATTTTGAATTTATTTGATATCATTAAGTAAACATAATTTAAACATAATTTTAATAGAAATTATAGTATTTATTAAATAAAATATTTTCAATT